GGAAGAAAAAAAAATAAAAGTACTCAGTTCCCTGCTGTATGGCCAAGAAGTCAACACAAAGGCAGGAAGGAAAGACAAGACAAATGATTCGAGTCACCCTGTGTTAGGAATCAGCAAGAACAATAAAGACAATAAGTCTGGAAATGCGACAGCTCAAATAAAAAAAAAAAATATTTAAAATAATAATATGAAAAGGCACCACCACCCCTCCCTTCATGCAAGAAAACACATCATAAAAAAATCTCAGCAAAATAAAACTTCCTGTAATCTACCATGACAGCTTAGCCCAAGCTTTCAGAGGGAAAAAAACCTTAAACACTGAACTAAAACAAAACCTGGTAAATATGCAATTTTCCCCCTCACCCCAACACCCACATTTTGTATCCTCCTCCGCTATTGAAAAAGAGCTATTGAGGAAAGTTCTCTCCTGTTTTAATTTTAAAAAGATTTAAAATCTCTCATTTGCAAGGATAATTCCTATTTGCTTTTAACACTAAATATTACTTTTCATGTTCCTGACAGCATATAAAACAACTGAAAATAAAATAAATTACCTCAGGAAAAAAAAATAATCATTCTTCAAAACAGTAATCCTTAAATCTATTTTGTATCTGAACACACTTTTTAAATTGCAGTTAGAGAAAGAAATTGCCAGAGGGAGGAGAGATGAGACAAACAGCAATATCCCCGCCCTCCCAGCCTTGCTCTTTTTAATCAGCTGAAACCACAACCCATGCGAAAGCTTTCTCTGTTTCATCTCAGAGCTGTCTTCTTGCAAGGCACGGCGAGCAGGCACCAGAGATAACTCCTGTGCGCGCTGCTTGGCCAGGGCTGCTGGACCGCAGCCGCTGCATCCTCTGCGGGAGCTAAGGGACAAGCATCCTCTGCCAGCACACAGGACCACCATGGTCCTCCTGTGCTCAACCTCCCTAACCTATTTTTCCCATCCTCTCCTACGCACAGGCACAGTTCAGCAGCTTCCCAACCCTGAGAGGTCCTTTGTGTGGACTTAAACCACAGACCACTAGTCCCAAGCCACCAGGGACTGCCTGTACCCAAACCCCATCACCCTGCATGGGCACACCCTGGAGGAGGGGGGGGAACCCCATCACTTTGCCATTTCTGCCTACTCCTGTTAGTAAAATCCTGCAGATTCTCTCACCCTGTGGTTGCAATTAGCCTTCTTGCAGTTAGCTTCTTCACGGGAAAATACCACCAAGAGAGAGGTTCTACCAATAACTCTGCAAATTAGCAAGTAAAAATACTGCCTCGTGAACCATACTTCGTTTGTATCTTTTGCCAATTATACGTGTTTGAATCATTTATGAGAATGCTTCATAACATGCTGGTAAGCATTCAACAGTAAGCTTGGTAAAAATAATCAAGCCTTGGTAATGGGCCAGTTGGTACAGCCTCTGCTATTAAGTCTTTGCTCCGAGGTGGGGAGAGACAGCCAATCTGCAGGTGGATAAACAAGGCTATAGGCTAAACATCGACATAAACCAGCTGAATTACAGGTCCCAAGATAAAGAGACACTCAACATGAAGCTGCTGCCTTGCTGAGCAGCTGACCTGGAAGCATACCATGCACTGGTCAGATTACTGATCAGCCCGCTTCTGAACTGCTAAGCACTTGCTCCAATTTCCGTCACCCCAGAGGATTGCCTGGTGACTAATTACTGCGGTCCCCAGAGAAGCTGTGGCCTCCTGGACGCAGAAATAAAACCTCACCGAAGCTGCTGATATAAAAAAAGGACGGGGGCAGATTTATTAGTGAGGCAGCAGTCACAGACCTACCAACCAACACAGAAAGGCAGCAGCAGTGGTTACTGAAATAAGCTTGTGTGTGCATTAAGAGAAGAAACGATAGAAATCCATAAAAAATAATAAAAATACTAGCCTTCAAAAGCTTACTTTATTAAACCAGCTGTACTTATTGTTTAAAGGTACTACGTTAGAGGCTAGTCATTCCTGTCAGTGACAACTGAACTGCTCTATTAATCAAATCTGACTTTTTATTCCCTGACATTTTATTTAAATACTGACTTTTTATTTAATAACCTAAAGCCAGGGAACGTGTAATTCACGTCACCTACCACCTTGCAGGGTGCGTGAAGTTTCACTTTACCCACTATGAAGAACATCTTAAGGTGAACACCCAGCTACCTTCCAACACGTGCAGGGACAGCAGGTCTGCCCGTGCATGTCCCATACAGACAAGCACCCAGAGAGAGAGAGAGAGTAAATAAAATGACCTCCGCAGTGGGGCATTTTCCTCGATGTCCTCCAGAGTCTCCAGAGAAGATCGCTGAGAGATCAGCCGGCGTCTGCAGAGAAAACAGAACACAAAAGATCACCATGGGTTAGAGGGCATGAGAAAGTCCTCAGAGCTGTTATTTAGCAAAGCTCACAAATTGCCAGTCATTAGCAGAGCCGTAACTTTCAGTATTAATTGATTTTATCCTGTTCTGCTTATTTTACTAAGTCAATGTGATCCCAACCAGAAGCAAACTTACTCCATAGAAGCTTCTATAGCAAAGCAGAAGTTGAAACTTCCCAACAGCTCCTCCTCTGTTTGTGCTTTCAGGTTTTTCTTCTTTCAAGGGTTTAACACCCACCTAACACCAGCCCCACACTTGCTGTGGCAAGAGCTCGCGATGCTCCAAGTACAGTTCTTTGATAAAATAATGCAGACGTAGATCTACAGAGACTGCCTGTCTTTCACACTGCTGCAGGGGACACTTCTCTCTGCCCCTTGCCCTTTTTACCAAATAAATGCCACTCGATTGTCATTGATGTCCATCTCATCGCTCCTCTGAGGGGTGACCAAAGAAAGGAGGACGACGGAGTTGGCAACACTGGGTACAAACCAGCAGTTTAAAAGGGAGCTCAGCACAGATGAGTTTTACTCATGTTTTAAACCAGTTTTCTATGGTGGAGCTGGATCCCTCCTCCACCTCCGGTGAAATAAAGTACAGAAAACTTAGCATTTCATGTTTTCTCATTGTCCTGGTGAGCAGGGAAGAACTTGCAGCACAGGCTTGGTTTTAGCAGCTGCACAACCTCCAAACACCCCAATGGCAGCGCAAGACAAAGAGCTGCACCCAGCCCTCCAAAAAGCATCATAAATACCAAAACCAAATATATTTAAGAAAGATACAGCCAGCCCACAGGCACATAACGAAAAATTATGTCAGAACGACCCCGTTGGTGGGGTGTTAAGCAGCTGCGACAGCCAGCAGAGCAAAGACACCCTGCCACAGCACCTGGCTGGCACCGGGAATGTCAGCTCCCATTGCTCCTGGGGGCCATTGCTGAGGTCTACAGTACTGCGCCAGTGATTTTATGAGTGCAAACTGAAATGATGAAAGTCCTCATAGACTACTACTATTTTTTCCCCGATTACCTTAATATTCTTCCCACTGAGCTGCCTTACTCCCTTGATCTGCAATTAAGGAGTTTCCGGAATCTCAATACGTTATGAGCACCCCCCATGCTTGGAAGGGGGCTCACTGATTTATTCCTGGGCAGTATTTTCACAATAAATTGTTTCCTCTGATGCCAGCATAAGCAGTTTCTAATCCTTCTTGCAATTTGCTAGCCCCTCCAGTTGTGCTGCTGACAACGGTTCCTGTAGCCATGCTGCAAATCTGATTACTGAAATGTTTTTCAGTTCAAAATAACCCTGAGGTTCAGTGATTCAGTTTACTGCTAGTTCAAACATCAGATTTCTATCACTAACCCCCAGACAACACATTTCAGGACAGTTTGAATGTGTATGCGGCTTTTCGTGTACCTAGAAAATCATTTAAAAAAAACCCCAAAACCCTCAAACAATTTATAGAGCAACTAAGTGAGAAGCCTAATCCTCTTAGGAAAATATGTAAACCTAAATCCCCTCAGACTTTGTCTAAACTAGAATTTAAGAATATCTGGTACAAGATAGGATACACCTTCAAAATGCTAAGAAAAAAATAAAGAAGTCTGCATTTCAGGGTGTACTGAACTTGCTGGCATAGACAAGGAAGGAGAGACCAAACATCTGTCTCCCGTGCCCACGGGTGCTCCCTCGGCCCCATCCACGGTCAGAGGACACAGCGATGCTCTCAGAGGGAGAAATTCAGATCAGGAGGAGCTCCCCTTCCACTTTCAGTTACATTAGTCCATAAACAATAGTTAGAAGTTTCAATTACCAGCACCACTGACGTAGCAGATGATAGCTGCTGCTTTTTAATACCTCTTTATATGTCATTAGCTTAATAGCACACTTAAATGATGGTACCCTCCCATCTTGTGGTGTTACAACACCGAAAGCATATTTTGCGTGTTGTTAAGTCAGAGAAAAACAACAGTACAACTTTGCCACCTTCTTCATATGAAATTTATCAAACCAGTAACACAGTTATTTCCCATAGACGCCTGTTAGACGCTGTAAGGTGCTTGTACAACACACAATGCATATCTGAGCCACCACCACAACCTTCCCCAAGCCTCTCCTTGGCCAAAGTTACCCAGCACCCTACAACTCATTGCCAACAGTTTGGCAGAGATGGGTTTGAAGACTGTGTGTCCTACGTTTCCATCTGTTATTAAGGAAGATGCATTGGTTGGCAAAAAAATACATGCAACTACATTTCATCAGCTCCAGGGCAGCTTTAAACACTGGCCATCCAGTTGCCTGCTGACTGTTCAAATTCCTCTGCCATCCCTTGCTGGTCACAACTTCTTAAACCCAAGACCAGGGATGGTGCCTCCTGGTTTTCACTTGCTGATCTTGAATGCAACACAGGCTGGACAGGAATTGCTGCCACACCTCTTGGCACAGAAAAAAAGTTCACACTCATTTTTACCACTGATTCTGCAGTATTTTGGGGACCTAACACAGCAAGTGAGTCTGCACAAAGAAGCAGGGGAAAGCTCTTTGCTCACCCAACCTAGGGAGAGGAGCGCTGATACCTGAGCTCCCTCCCAACTAGTGTGAATATAAGCA